TTTCCCTGCGCCTTTCAAACACACACACACACTCTTATTTTGTCAGCAAAGCAATTAGTTTCTGAAAGGCTTTGATGGTTTGATAACAGGAGGCTGTTGTGAAGAAATGAAGGGAGAGAAAACAGACACAGAGAGAGAGAGAGAGAGAGAGAGAGAGACAGACAGAGGGAGAGGGAGGGAAATTTGATCAAAAGTATGGCTTTTGATGCAGGACACATCTCAGGTACTCAGAAACTGATCTGAAACCCTTGGCGCTGTGTGTTTGTCTCATATAAGCAGATGAGGACTGTAGTACGGATGTCTGTTTAAGCTTGCATTAAAAGAACTATAAAAAAGTTCAACTTTATTTTGTTAGTGTTTGTGCTCAAAGTTGGCATGAAACAAAAGTTAAGAGTGTTATTTTTCCTCTATTGTGACGTACACACACTTGAAACAGTCCTGAAGTGAGAAAAAAGGTAGGGCAGCGCATGATTTTGTCATATTGGAATTGATTGGACTATTTTAAAATGGGTGTTGCTGACTAAATGAAGGAAGATTGACGAATAGATGAAGGCAGAGCACTGGCGAGGCAGTGGCGCAGTAGGTAGTGCTGTCGCCTCACAGCAAGAAGGTCGCTGGTTCGAACCTCGGCTCAGTTGGCGTTTCTGTGTGGAGTTTGCATGTTCTCCGTGCCTTTGCGTGGGCTTCCTCCGGGTGCTCTGGTTTCCACAGTCCAAAGACATGTGCTACAGGTGAATAGGGTAGGCTAAATTGTCCGTATTGTATGAGTGTGTGTGTGAATGTGTGTGTGGATGTTTCCAATAGTGTTTTTAAAAGCCAATGTAAGAGAAAAGTGCACTGCGAGCACATAGGTTTACCTTTATTTTACACTACTTGTCTTTCCTTTGTGGAAGTCACAAACACACTACCAACAAAGTGAGCTATACCGAGCAATCTATACACACCAGAAAACTTGTGATTATGCAGATAAACATAACTGTTAACAAACAATACATGTTGTTAAGTTGATTTGTGGCATTTACTTGGTGTTGTGCAAAGAACTGCATTGTAATAATCCTTTTTGTGCAAAACAGTTTTGGTCCCAAGTTTCCTTGCTACTTTTTGAAATGTATTATAAATGTTTCAGTGTAACTGATAAAATGGTTTTATTTATGGATTGAATCTCTGGATTATTGGAAATTGTAAACAAATTTTCATGGATTTAAAAAAAAATTATGATCCCCTCACTTCTACACAGAGTAATACCAAAGCTATTAAGACATCCCTACTGATGGAAGAAAATACTTAATGTACATGATTATTTTTGTTGTTAATTCCCTTATATATTGTTTTATGTATAATTCTGTACTCCCCTGTTTAATAAATCAAAAAATCCTTTTTTTGTTGCTAATATGGCCCAGTAAATATCATTAGTGTGAAAACAAACAAATGTTGTGTACGTCATACTGACCCGTAGTGTTCAGTGGTTTTCATTCATTAATTTTTCTTCGGTTTAGTCTCTATTTCAGAGGTCAACACAGCGCAATGACCCATCAACTATTCCAGCATATGTTTTATGCAGCGGAAAACCTTCCAGTTCTGGGAAACACCAATACACTCTCACATTCGCACACATAAACTAAGGCCAATTTAGTTTATTCAATTCACCTATATCGCATATCTTCAGACTGTGCGGAAAACCAGAGAATCTGGAGGAAACCCACGCCAACACGAGGAGAACACGCAAACTCTTTAAAAAAAATGCCAACTGACCCAGCCGGGACTCGAACCAGCGACCTTCTAGCTAGCGACCACTAAGCCACCATCCCATCCGTGTTGGTGTTATACACAATAAAACAATTGATGCTGCCTTTAATTTTTAAGTTGAACTAACAAACAAATTGAACTCACAATATATTAAACTAACTCAAAGCACTAAAACCATCATTATCATGTCATATTTTGGTGCAGGATTTCAAAAGATTACATGTGCAACACACATTTTTCGACCAACCCAAATTAAAACAATGTTTAATGTCTTTTTAGCAGCCTCCGTGAGTTCAAACTTTTCTAAATCGCAGGATCTTCCCACATCAAAAGCGAATCCTATTGTGACCCTTCGGCTGCATTCATCTCTTCACCTTCCGCTCCTGCCTTTCAGCTCTTTGTCCTACATCTAATTTGTCTGAATGGCTAAAAGCGAGCAGAGGAGGCACACGACTGCTCAGATCTCCCGGATAATTCTATTGGACGCTTCTAATTAAATCAATGAGGGCTATTATAGCAATTATCCGGCCAAATGGGAGCGCATTGTGTCCGCTCGATACATTTAGTAAATTCTGTCAATCTTCTTATCAGCAAGACGGCACATGCAGTAACCCCCAGTTTAATGATGTACCTGGATATGCATGGGGTTTCTCTTCCTCATCAAATCAAAGAGATAGCGAGGCTCTTTCGTGGCTCCAGCCCACAAAAAACACACACATTAAAGCAAAATCTGAAGGTAATTTGTTTTTGTCAAGCCATGACTTCATTTCCCTGCTTGTAATGTGGATGTTCTGTGTACTGACTAATAAATAATGAATTTGCTGGATATCAGGGCCGTCAAAATAAATTTCTTTCAACATAAAAGAGCAAAGATTGTTCCAAAATGAATCCTAATTTTTAAGCAACCATAAACAATAAATTAAACATTCTGATTTGCTGCTCTGTTATGATCTATTTTTATTTGCTTTCATTCATTAATAAAGCTTTATATTATCAACGTAACACATTTTGTTCTACTTTATATTTCTATGGGGAAATGCTTTTCATGAAAACAAGGTCAAATATAACAGCATTATTTTTAAAGTAAAATCTTTGGTAGTTTGGTAGTAATGTGTCCTTTTATATCCTCTAGTGTGCCTTTAGAATCTTGATTGTTGATTGTCAAACATCATTTACAGTAGTCTTAAAGGAACATTTTAAAATAGGCTCATTTTACAACTAAATAGCTAAACAGGTTACCATTTTTGACTCCATCAAGGTCTGGTGAGAGTACTTTTAGTTTAGCTTAGCTTAGCATAGATCATTGAATCGGATTTGACCATAAGCATATCACTAGAAAATAGAACCTAAAGTTAATTGACAAACTTTGATGTTGGCTTGAGAAAGCCAACATGACTGTGCTGGAACTTGCAGTGTGAGTGCAAAGCGCGCCTAAGCCTGAAACTGAAGACGAGACGTGACTTTTAAGGGACTGTTTCATATGGATTTATTAAACATTCTTACTGTTCAATGAACACAAACTGTCGTAGATTATTAAAGACGCAAACCCCTCACTGCACGACAGCTGCACCTTTAGCAAACCTCCTAATTCCTGCAACACGACGACTTTATGATTGTTTATGAGCGTCAAAAGAGGCTGATCTGTTTGGTGAAATATTTGACTGTGTGTCACCGCATCCCAAATGACTAAAACAATATAACTAAAGAAATCTCCACTGTGCTAAGCAAAAGCACTTACTGAACAGCGTGTCATCAATGACGTAAGCTTGCCCTGATCAAAATATAATGTTAGTATGGGCCATCAGGGGAGACGGGAGGGGGGATAAGCATGGTTCAAGGCAACTGTACATAGTGTAAGTACGCCATTTGTAGAAGAAAGGCAGGTGGTGAAGACCTGATTGGGGGGGGGGGGTGAAGGTAACAAGGTGGTGGGTGGTGCTGAAGGTAAAGAGGCAGTAAGGGGGAGTTTGGTCCAATGTTAAGTCCCTATATTTTAAATGGAAGTTTCTTCACCATTGTGAGTCAATGGGCAAATTTGGGGCACTCTTGCACACCAGGGGTACAACTTACACCCCAGTTTAATATGCAGATTTACACAGCTTGGCAGCCTCTTCAATTGTGATCACAAGTTTTTAGGAATTTCTCTTTCAAAGTTATGATGCATCAAATTAGCTGCAATGTTAAGTCAATGGGATTTTTCAGAGTTTCCGGGTCACACTCTTGCACACACACACACACACACACACACACAAACACACACACACACACACACACACACTACGGCCAATTTAACTTATCCAATTCATGTGTACCTCATGTCTTTGGACTGTGGGGTAAAACTGGAGCACCCGGAGGAAACCCATGTGAACACAAGGAGAACATGCAAACTCCACACAGAAACGCCAACTGACCCAGCCAAGGCTCGAACCAGTGCCCTTCTTGCTGTGAAGCGATAATGCTACCCAATGCACCACCGCGCTGCCATGACTATACTAATAAAAAGTAACATTTAAAAAATTTCAGAAAGATACTGATGACAGGATATGTAATGTTAAGTAGGGCTTATAGTTGACCAGGCCCATAGTTTTTTTGTTTTTTTGTTTTTATATTGGAGGCTGCCTTTATCTGTTTTTTAAGGACTGTATCCCTATGAACATTTCAAGACACTTTAAAGCATTCAAGCACAATAAATTTTACTTTTTGAAACTTTAATAAAGAAACTAATGTTTCTTAGATTTTTTTAAATTTCTATACCTGAAAATAGCTTGACAAAAAAAAAAAAAAAAAAAAAAAACATTACCCAGCACTTTAGCCAGGGCATCAGTTGCGTAAGCCATATGGCGGAATAGTTGACAGTTCATTCCGCTGTAGCTACCCCTGATAATCATGGAGTAAGCCGAAGAAAAATGAATGAATGAATGAAAAACTAAATTATTTGTCATTTATCATTTTTATGCATGATTCAATTCCCGATTGCAATCAATCTGAATTACTGAACACTTTCCAAACAGGGTTCTTTAAGACCTCTGATGAAACTGTATTCATATCGTACTATTTATTGCAGAAAAGCAAAATATCGCAATGTCAGATTTTTCCAATATCATGCAGCCCTAATAGGGTCCCAAAAAATCTCCCCAAAGGGTCAAAGATTACAGGTGTTGCTGTACTACTGATATTTGGTCCCCAGAATGCAAGAAAAACAAGTTACACACACACCTTGCAAACACACAATTTCAGATTCAGCATTTTCTCACCTCATAGAGAGTAATGACTCCATTTGTTTCGTTCGGGGCCTTCCACTGCATGAAGATCTTCTCCTCATATGGTCCCGTCTGAATAGACTCCATAGGAATGGGGCCAGGAACTAATAAAGACAAACAAACACACATTTAGCAACACCAAAACACATCTACAAATCAAAACATTTAGTTAACATTCTCCCATCTACAATGCAAACGCTGCACCACAACATCAACAGCTTGATCTAAAACGTGACTACTTTAAAAACAGAAGTGACGTAGCCTGACAGAAATGGCTTGTGTTGCTGGGTAGAAGGCAAATCGAGGCGGTTGGGGATTGGCTGACTACAGAAGTAAAACTATGTCAAACACACCTCAGCCGCAATCTTCTAAGTGTGAATTGTAACAGCTTTGCAACCCTTCGGTAGCGAGAGGTGTTAACAAGTGCTACGAGTACAAGTGTGCGCATTTGCGTGTGTCTATTAGCATATTTTCGTGCGCACGTCCCCTCTGGCACGCTTTGCAAGTTTTCCAAATATACTCTTGCTAGAACATCATTAACACCCTAAAAACCTGTTTTCGAAGATGTCATCATCCATAGACAGCTTCATCTCACTCTCATATGCCAGCATAGCATTTTAGAAGATGATATGACTTGACGATTTCAGAAATTAGGTATGCTAATGTGGTTATTTTGGCAGATTTTGACAATTGTCTATGCATTAAGTTATAATTGAAGCTGGTGGTCTTTCATTTCTCTGAGGTTGGTTAGTGTCTTTGACTTGACTGTTAGCGATGACACACTAATGAGTCAGACCGTTCCTGACAGCGTGGCAAAAAGAGCTAATGACTTAGCTAAAAGGCCGTTTAGTCCAACTTAGCAGCCCCGGTGCCGTTGTTTGCTTTGCAAGTCGTGGCTAATTGGGAGGGCAGAATAAAGAGGCGAGGGCGAACGAGAGAAGAACCTTGGGCACAAACACATTCACTGGCAGTCATCTTAAATGTTTAAGAAAAGGCTTAAAATGACTATCGCTCATGAAAAGATTTAATTTACACAGAAACTTGAACAGCTAACTCTATTATTGCACAACAAGCAATGAAGGAAATTTCATTGCTAATCTTATTTGTGTTGCCAAAAAAAAGAACCAATAAACAAATCTAATCTGATTATTTCTTAATAGTTGTTATGGGTAACAAACTAAATGTTTGTAATGTTCTCAAATAGTCCTTGAAACTTACTGTTCAATAGAAAACGACTTGAACTACTATTATATATTTAAAAATAACATTGTTTATGTTTACTGTAAGGATTATTACTGAAATTTGATGCTTTAACAGCTAAAATAACTCCTAATAATACCTGTCAACATTGGGATATGAAAACTCATCAAGATTAAGATTTATTTATTTATTTATTTATTTATTTATTTATTTATTTATTTATTTATTTATTCATTTATTCATTTATTTATTTATTCATTTATTCATTCATTCATTCATTCATTCATTTTTTTGGCTTAGTCTCTTTATTAATCCGGGGTCGCCATAGCAGAATGAACCAACTTATCCAGCACATGTTTTACGCAGCTGATGCCCTTCCAGCTGCAACCCATCACTGGGAAACCCATACACATTAATTCGTACACACACATACACAATGGATAATTTAGCCCAATTCACCTATAGCGCATGTCTTTGTACTTGTGGGGGAAACCGGAGCACCTGGAGGAAACCCATGCGAACGTGGGGAGAACATGCAAACTCCACAAAGAAACGCCAACTGACCCAGTCGAGTCTCAAACCAGCGACCTTCTTGCTGTGAGGCGACAGCACTACCTACTGCACCACTGTGTTGCCATACCAAAAGATAATGAGCGTAAAAAAATTGACAACGCGTCTAGACAAAAAAAAATTAAAATTCTACTCATATTTGGATGTTTTGTGTGCTTACAGTGTGCTTAATCATTAGTAAAAGTAGAAAAGTCATTTAGTCCTTAAATTTAAGATAATCCACTCAACTTTATTTATATGGCACCTTAAAACAACATGAATGTTGACCAAAGTGCATCACAAACATGGCAAAAATACTAAACATTTAGAGAGACAGGAAAATATATGCTACAATAAATTTAATTACTAAAAATATATGTAAAAAAATATGTACAGTCAATGAGTCCTAAAAAGAAGAGACAAATTTATATCAGTAAACCAAAGAGAAGAGGTAGGTTTTGACTGATCTTTTAAAAATGCTAAATGTACCTTTAATTTTTAAAGGTAATGTGTTGCAAAGTTTTGGAGCATAAACTGAGAAGGCTCTGTCTCCTTTTGTTTTCAAGCGGGATTTAGGAACAAACCATTTTTAAAAGATGTTTTAATCTAATCTTAAAATACAAGCACTTTGATTGAGAGCATTACAACTCCTGAAATCGTATAGATTATATCATTCTCTTTAACCAACTAATGTCATTTTCTTTCAAATATGTAACCGATTTACAATTTAACGTCCACATGAGTTGTAAGCTCAACATAAATCCGGCTTACGCTGGAAAAACATTCTATCTGATCATTTCCATTGTGTGCTCATTAATAGTTCAAAAGGCTCCAAGGTTGAAATATTTGCCCTTAATCACTATTAAAAGCTTTAACAGTCAGTGGCATTTACTCTTCAATAGGAAAAGAATTGAGCTAATCAAAGAAAAGGTGAAAACTGCTCTCTCGCTGAGGTGCTCGATGTCAGATATTATTCAGCAAAGTGAGGCCAGGGAAATTATATTTTCAACAATTCCTCAAATAGCTTGATTGGGCACTCGCCAACAAGCATATTGAATCAGTTACAATGAACAATAATTAGATCCAATCCTCCGTCCACTATCTTTTCCACCATATTAACCATGCATGTGGGTGAAACGCTGCTTTACATATTAATCCAGCTGATTAGCTAGCTTCTCATGGAGACTTTGAGTGATGTTTCATTAAGTTTGAGTAGAAATAAGTACTTTTTTCTTTCTCTCTTTAAAGTCCACATGAACTGAAAGCTGGCACCATTTGTTTTTTATATTGTGACTAGGGTTGGGTGTAACGTGTTCCACAGTAACGTGCTATTGCATTCTAATTACAATTTTGGGGAATGCAGTGATGTAACGAATTAAATGTGTGGAATTTGATTACAGTTCCTAAAGTTTGTGTAATTAAGTTACTTATGTATGGGATCAAATTCCCATAATGAGGTCATGGGTAGGAAAAAAAATGTGCGTAAATCAAGGATTTAATAGTCATAACGGATTTTTCATTAGTTTTTATTTCGTTTTGTTTACCATTGTTATACAATTACTTTCCTAATTACCCTATCCTGGGATGTGTTTCCCAAACAACAACGTAAGTCATGGCTGAATTATCATAGTACAATGCATCGTTTGGGAAAAGACCGATGTAGTGATGAGTGTTTCCCTAAAACCGTAGTCTCTCTGTCGCAGATCCATAGTTTGAACCACGTTATAACATAAAACACCCATAATAATGCTCTAAACTGGGTGGTAACAACTTCTTTAAGGAAGAAACCTATCATTTCTTTGTGCAAACTATATTGTTTTACATGCACACGCATTTAAAAAAAAACAACATTAGTTTTTGTAAAAACATGCGCTCGTTTCCCAGATTAATTGAAATATATGTAAACGGCACATATAGGTCCCATGTCTCCTTTACTAATATTATTGAGAACATTACATATTATATTTTAAAACATAAAGTCACTTACAAAAGCTAACACGTATTCTAACATCATATATAAATCATATAAATGAATAAATGTATAAATAAATAAATAAATAAATAAATAAATAAATAAATAAATAAATAATGAGGCTATTTATTAAAAAAGTGAAATGTATTATTTATTAGAAAATGAAAAGTCTTACTTTAATAATAATAATAATGATGATGATGATGATGATTGTTGTTGTTGTTGTTGTTGTTGTTGTTTTTGTTGTTGTTGTTGTTATTATTATTGTTATTATTATTATTATTATTATTATTATTATTATTATTACTGTTATTAAGTAGGATATAGTTCATTTATTTTTTAAGTCAAATTTTTTAATAATTTGACACATGCAAACCACTGCAGAAATGTTCTAACCAAAAGGCCCATGTCATATACAGTACAGATACCTAATAAATAACCTACTATAAATTAAAAGCATTATCGCATGCTGCTTTTTTTTTTTTTTTTTTTTTTTACAAGCTTTGGAGACAACATAAATTCTGCTTTTAGATAGAAGTCACCTATAGCTTTTGTCATGAGCCACGGCTGTGTTCAAAATGACATCAATGTTTTCAAAGTGCACTGCAAAGGGCGCGCAATTGTCAATATAAAGATTGCTAAAACTGAACTGTAAAAATACTTTGAAAGCAAATTACACCTAAGAGAGATGACCTTTTTAAATAATTCCTGTTTAATTGTTAGAATGTTCTAAATAAATAGGACATAGGGGGGATAACTGGGAATAGAACACACCCAGGAACTATGTTTCTACCTACAACTCCAGAGGTGTAGTTGCAGGCAAACAAGTTTGTGACGCAGTTTGTGAATGTTTGTTGGAACGATGGATTTGCAAAATGTCAAAGTTGGCTAATCATGATTTTGGAAACGCACCCATGTTTAGTTTTGATTTCATGTGTACTTTAAGTTTAAATGTGTTTTATAGTGTCTCCAAATGAATTGTTCTTGTTTATGCTTATTTCTGGCGAGCAGGTTTCAGTATGTACAGGGCTTGTTGTTGTTGTTGACCTAATAAGGTAAAAAAAAACCTGCCTGCGCTCCTCATGTTAATTTCTCCCTCCTGCAATTATCACCATATAAGGTTACACAGAGAGACCAAACTGCTCCACTATTGATATGTTGCAGCTGTCCGTCAATTTGCTAACACAAAGGACAGCAATTACAGGTTTTCATATGCAAAAAAAAGCAAAAAAAGGAAAAACATCAGACAAGAGCAGATTCTGAATAACCAACAGAGTTCTATCCATATCAAAAACCAGGCGCATCAAAAACATGAGAATAAAAAAAGGGTGAGAATTGAATTATACACTATAATCTAATAATCTAAGGCCTGACAATGGGCTT